GATATTACTATTGATAAACACATTTTTTAAGATTTAGCAAGAAAATGCAATGATAACTACTTTCGCAAACACATTCGGTTTTCCTTGCTTAGGAATTTTCCCTGAAAGGAAAACTGTTGCAACAATGCTTGGTACAGGTTGGCAAATTGTGTCATCACACCTGTTGGCGATTCAGTTACGTTATGACACACCCATATTATATTTCAATCATCCTATTTTTTGCCCTAACATGGAATTTCTAGATTAAATTCTAATGTACAGTAATGACAAATAATAACAGTGTTTCAATTTTAATTTGAAGAAAATTGAAATGTAATTATGTGAGTTTTTAGACAATGTTTAAGTCGAAGCAACTGTATACCGCGAATGTTTTGCATTCTTAATTACTCAAGAAAACTTTGCCAAACTTTGGCTTTGTTTAAGTTGTCAAAAATTGAAAAAGCTGAAATTTATTATTTCACGAGTACAATAGGAGGAAACTCATATTTTCAGTTTCTAAATGATACGCATCAATCATCAAAAGACAGTTTTCAGCACATCAACTATTCGATTTTACACTTGACGAGATTACTTTTAACGTCGATTTCCTGTTATTCATTCCTGATCCGTTTTCTCGAAAAGCCAATTAGAATTCTAAAACTACACTTTCATCTAACAAAGCATGAAGGAAAGACACTTATTGGTTGCTACAGAGACAAGCTACTTACGGTGATCCATACAAAGAACAGATTAAGTAACAAATTCTCGTCTAAAGCACAGACATCCCAAGTATATTAAAATCTGTTCAATAGAGAAAAATTTACAAACATTGCCTTGCGATTTATTTCCAGAATTCAAAGGTCGGATGATTAGAAAAAGCGCTCCGTATGGTAATAACCCGTCGTTGGAATAATCTCACGGATATCTTCGGGTTTTTCGAATCGGATTTAGGTCCAGATCGTTCCGACACATACAGCAGCCGTTAAAACTCCTCCAAGGGAGATATCACGATCGTTGTGTGTGTGCATGAAAGGGTCAGAATCTATTTTCTGTTTCACTTTGATAGATGGTGCTCCTTCCGGATATTTACTTACCTTGTAGATTAAATTGGGGATGTTTTTCTGCGATTACCCTCTATTTGTTTCGGGTCGCTATTCTTGAAGAAAACCTCGACCGAGTTGAGTTGTTGTCGAGACGAAATCACTTTTTTTACCATAATTTGAACTAATCAACGTAATGGAAACACACGGTTTCGTGACGTTCGGATAATAACAGATAAAACAGGGTGGATAGCAGACACTCATTAGGATTGTTTCTCTTATAAACACAAATATATTTTTTATTTTTTTAATATCCTCTTGCGAATGTAGGTCGTTTGTTATCGATCGCAGCTCGCTTTTTTCATCACGATTCTGTGAAATTTTTAATAAATTCACTCGTCCGTGAATTTGTAAAAATTAATTAACATTCGAAGAATTTCGATTGAAACGTTTTGTCGAATTACGAAGCGGAAAAGTTCCCAATCTCTTATTTTCACCGCCCACACATGTCTCCGGGAAATATAATATTTGTTGTGTCGGTGTGTTGCTATGATACAATGATGCGCAGCTTTGAAAGCAAGTCGGAAAACCTTCCAATTCTAATTGGAAACTTTTCATCTGTTTGTCGGAGAATGAAAACTGTGGGACCTTCAACTGTGCCGCCACCACCGTATAAAATTAAACGCGATGCCTTTGAGGAAGCTTCAAAATTTAATGTAATCAAATCGAAGTTGTAAACAAAATTGTTAACTCGTAGAACGTACCAATTTGTATCAGCTTTCATAGAGTAAGGTTTCGGAAAATTGCCACGCCAAGTCTTTTAGTTATCGAGGAATTGCGAATTTCGATTTCTCTCGCTCCAACAATTTTGTTTTAAACAAAACAGGGGTTCGAGTATTAATTACGAACCAAACTTAACGCTTTATAATTATTCCCTCTACCAACCCTTTAAAATTAATTAAAATTTTTTGAATGAGATTTATTTAAAACAAATCGTCATTCATTTGATCGTAACAACTTTTGCTTTTATATCAAACGGAAATCAGCAAAATTGTGTACCATTTTAATTCGCCATCACATTTAATTAGACCAGAAATACAGACCCGAAACCGAATAAACAACGCAATTCCCTTTAACCGCCAGTTCATCGGAAACCATCAATGCAACGTCAATATGAAATACATTCACGTGGGGTTCCCCAATGATTTAATTAAATTTCGTGTCTAGTACATATACATAAACGTTCAAAATCGAAGCTTTGTTGATCGGATATTTTCAAAGAAAAAACGCCAACAATAGCTTGTTTCTTAAAAAAACAATTAAGAGAATAAAATTCAGAGGGGTTGACGTTGCACGACGTGATTCGATACACCTTTCTAGCGAAATACGATATTCCATCTATCTCCCGGCGAAGCGAATTTATAAAATAGGCTTATCGATCGCATCAGGAAGAGCCAGAATGTCATCATAGGAAAATTTAAAGACGCGGGGAGGACGATAATCAGGTTTTAACCATGATGGATATTTTACCTAATTTCGAGCGAAAAAAATCGATTCTCCAATTAAAGGAGGAAAACTCAGCAATAATGATCAATTATGAAGAGACGCAATCGTCAAAGAAATTGCCTTCATGACCAATAAAAATAACAATAATCACGACGTTTCCCGATCGTTATGAGAGCTTGTAATTTTGTTAATTGGGTGCTTTCAGAGGAAAGCTCACGTGCGATTGGACGACCAGAAAGTGGGGCATTTTTCAGTATTTTGCAAATTAGGTCTAAAAATACGACAATTTATTTTTCTCTGTGATTTTTTTCTTTTTGTTCAATTGCCTTGAAATGTGGAACTTTCCGGTTCGAATAAGTATATAAAAAAAAAAAACATTTTTGTCCACGCCCAAAAATTGCTCTTCTCAAGTTCCTAAAATGAGGTTTTTTCGGAATCAATAGTTATTTCAGGTACAATTTATTTTTAATCTCTGTTTTCAAGAAATCAATTATAGAGAGGTAATAAAAAAACTGTTCGTAACACATACCAATCGACATGCTATGAATAGAAAATTCCCTTAACAGTAAAATTTTTCAATTTTATCATTTTTTATTGAAAAAATGAAGGCAACGTAAAAAAAATCGTATATTACACTTGTTTTATAAGACTTGTTGTCGCCATTTCGTGCGACTTATAAAACTCCACAATTACAGACTTAGCTTCGCCTCGTCGCAAACAGCGTCAATATAATTATTTTGAGATATAAAATAATAAATTCTTTGTAACCATTTTTTAATCTCTTAAAATTGATAACGCGGAACTTTATCAATAATTTGCTTACTTTGTCTCACCGGTCAAGCATGAACTTTGATCTAACAAATATACAGCGTGCGCCAGAACTCGCGCCCCAGAGAAAAAATTCAAGTAAGATAAGATACCGGAAACATGAAAAAATGTTTAAAAAATTCTATCTGTCAAAAAACTTTGACATTTGACTTTTTTATGTCTATTTAATGATCCTAATGATCTTTTACATATATGTTTTTTTACAATTATTTACAAAAATTTTGCCTATAAAAGCCACAATTAACAAAACAGAGTTACAATTTAGGATACAGCTTCCTTGTTTTCTCATCTAATAGCCTGTAGCAAAAAAACTTGGAAACTTGTTTTTTCAACAGAAATAAATAAAGTCAAATTGCAAATTTAAAGTCTCATAACTTCGAAACTTTTATAGATATTTTTTTTTAACATTTTTTCCATGTTCCAGGGATCTTACTTACCTTATATGGCATTTTTCTCTGGGAGGCGAGTTCTGGCGAACTCTGTATATAGTTTATTAAAATACACATTTATAAAAATATGTAATATCATTAATAATCTATTTTTTAAAATGGCCATTTGTTATTATTTAGACAGTTTCTATAAAATGATCAAAAATGATGTCTTCAATTACATAATTGGTGTCGATTTCGCTCGAATTTCTCAAGCAATTTTCGAAGAGGCGGAATAACCCAGATTTTGGTACGGTTGAACGGTGTTAAGGTTGAGGACAGGTTCCAGTCAACCGGTCGACCTTCTCGAACTGCGATAGCATCAAAACAAAACAATTCTCAAAAAAATACGTAGGTTGCAAATTTATTAATAAAACATTGAAAACGTACTCTGAATATTTGCTCACTGACCCAACAACCCATTTCCTCACTTGTAATTCTCGAGAAATTCGCAAAATATGCAAAAACGTTAAAAGTGAAGGTCTTAAACTTAATCATCCACTTATGGTTAATAGCTGAAAAATAGCGCAAAAACGTGATTCTTGACCAACTCAAGGTTCTACAAAATTAAATGCACCGCGAGGAATTTCAAGAAGCAGCGATTAACATACCTTGAATACAAATATAGCACGATCTGAAATTTTTCGGTGGAAAATTATTTAGGTATGTGAAAGCAACAAGCAACTAGGGGAAATTCAGCACCGTCATAAATCATTCGCTCTCTTTGTGCCCTAAGTTGCCGTTTTCTGGCACACCCTGTAGACAAGTGCATCCCTGTCGCGTCCCAATCATAATAATTCTAGAAAGCCTGTGTATTTATGACTCAGATATTAAGCCAAATGAATGGTTGAATTTCCATGAAAAGCAAAGCTTGCGGTTTCTGCGCCGCTCGCTATTGCGCCAAAGAGAATTAATTTGTCGCATGCATGCCGCCGTCTGAACCACCACCACATTCCATTGATAGCGGAAATATGCGAAAGGGTGGGCCATATTATGCGCAACTTTAAATTACTTTATAAATAATTACGTTCGGTTTCGAGTTTGGACAGGTAATTTTAATGAACTGAGCAATGTTTGTAGAGAAGCCTCTGTTTACGAAACCTACCACTTCCCTCATCGATTTGCAACCCTCCCAACTTTCAATGCGCAAATATTGGTCCAATATATTAGAAATTTTCACCGGATATCGAATAACGCGATTAGAAAAAACACCACTCACCTCTCTCAGTTCTTTGATTTTGTAGCCGGCTTTTCCGATCACGCATCCGGCTTGGCTCTGGTGGATCATCATACGCAAATCCAATTCATTTCCGTTCACTCTGCCTCCGTTCTGCAAGAAAACAACCAAATTAAAATATCGACTACGAAAAAACACTAAACAAATTTACTGAAATTTCAGCAATTTCCAATTTATTCTGGCACACAAGTTGCAAAAAAAAGTTACAACATTAGTTGCTTTCAAAAAACCCAACAGTGATATATGCGATTGTTCTTATATCAATAAAAAAAATAAAACCAGTTCAATAGATGAATAGTTCGTGATTTCAGCCCACACGTTTTCAACTGTAAAAGCAGTTTCATGTTCATCAACAATCTGCTTCTCCCAAAAACATAAAACGATGATAATTGAGCTGTCTTCTTGTTGTCAACATTTTACACAATCATTTCATACTAATTCCAACAGATAATCAATCCAAAATCGAAAGCCAACGCTAGTTTTACGTTTTACAATTTATACAGGATGCGTCAGAATTCGCGCCCCAGAGAAAAAATTCAAGTAAGATAAGATACCAGGAACATGGAAAAAATGTTAACAAATTTTGACATTTATTTTTTGACATTTGATATTTTTTATGTCAATTAATGATACTAATGACCTTGTATATGTTTCTTTTTTACAATTATTTAGTAAAGGTACAAAAATTTTGTCAATAAAAGCCACAAATAACATTGAACAGAGTTATAATTTAGGATACAGCTTCATTGTTTCCTCTTCTAATAGCCTGTAGCAAAAAGACTTGTAAAATAGAGTCAAAGCGCAAAATTTAAACTCTCATAACCTCGAAATTTTTATAGATAGAATTTTTTTAACATTTTCCCCTTGTTCCTGGTATCTTACCTTATATGGCATTTTTCTCTAAGATGCGAATTCTGGCGCACCCTGTATTTGAAAAAAATCCTTAAATTTTGATATTTTTCCCGTAGAAAGATGTGAAATGGTAGATTTCATGCTAGGTGGAAAATGTGTCATTACCCCAAGGGCCCAGATAACGAGACTGAATAGAGTTGAAAGGGTAATGGCATTTTCAACACAATCAAATTTGTTTAAATAATAAAATATCCGTTTTTCTGTCAAAATTGATGCAATAACACAATTACTATGCAAAGAAATTGAGTTTTTGACATTTGATGGATTCGTAACCTTACCACGAAATGTAATGACAAATTTCCCGACCTCCAAAAGGTTAGGAATCGTTATATTATAGTGATTGTAAATAAAAATGATTATTACTAAATTAAAAAATCTCTAACTCAATAAACGACATACTGAAAATTAAATATTACGTAAACAAGTAAATAAATAAAAGCCATCGCACGAATTTAAATAAAAATTAATTATCAATAAACTAATCAAAATAAGAGTAATTATAAACACTCGTTGGCAGAGCTTACCTTTTATTCATATCTATTTTAGTCATCCAACTATTTAAATTTAGTGATGGAATTTTGGAAAGTATCACTCCAACCAAAATAAACAAAATTTTCGCGTCTTTTATTTTAACATTTAAAACAAATTTGCTGCTTTTTAAAGTCAAGTTAGTAATTAATCTCAATCTGGTGAAAACCTAGACACTTTACTTTTGCAAATCAGCCAATCTCGGTCTCAAACCTCATCTATGATTCCTCTTTGCGCTAAATAAACTTTCATGAATCAAAACGTTATTAATACCATCAATTGCAGTCTCCGGAAGCGCTTCAACTATGTTTGCGTCTAGTGCAAGGAAAATTGTCTGTTTAACTAACCGAGACGGAAATTTGAGTTTGTCTTGTGATCGTCGTCGAGAGCAAAAAATCATTTTAACATTTCGCTGCCCCAATCGCATAAACCAAAGGTTATCTCTTATAAATTTTATATAAGCAGAAGAAAAAGCCATTTCTCAAAACGCCGCATCATTTATTCACCGGGATAATGATTGAATATAACAACTCGAAAAAAAGACAATAATTCCGCCTGACACGATTTTCTCCGACTTGGATTCGGTGGCAATTAACACCAACGTTTGGAGAAAATCGCGACCAACTTGACCCAAAACTCAAAATATTTGGCCACGGTCGGCTACATTGATCCGCAAAATGTTTACCAGTTACGGACATAATTCTAAATTTAGCAACAATTAATTCAACGTAATCAAGTAAAATATTAAATTGGTGTGATGAACTCATTAAACTCTTCTTTCGGACAGAAAATGTTCAAAGCAATTAAAATTAATTATTTTACGCTGGATAAGTTATTTTATCATTTACACATTTAAGCCAAACGAGTTAAGTGATTTATAATTAATTAAAAATTGTTTTACGAGGCCTTCGTGTTTCCAATTTAGCCAAATTTAGAAAAAGATTAATGAGGAACTCATCTGATTTATATTTTTACATTTTGACTTAACAAGAATTATCATTACAACCTCAATGAAAGTAGAAATATATTGTGGCATTATTTCCACTAAAAATATCGTCGTTGAACCACAACTGACTCACCTCCGAACTATTCGTATCTGTAACGTCTAAACCCTGACAGTTTTCCAATTTATCACAGAGGAAGACAAACAGCCATGACTCAAACAATACACAATTTCTTTCTAAATTCTAGCCAAGACAAACAATAAACGAATCATCAAGCAATTAAAAATTCAAAACTCGTGTTATTTAAGTCAAGCACGTAATCCGCGGTTTCCATGCATTTACCATGACAAAATCAATTTTAAAGATTCTATTTCGACAAACATAAAAGTTAACACCGCTACAAAGTCTCCGTTTAATTGCCACTACCGGCAACATTGATGGTGGATGCGCCGGGCTAAAACCCCTAACCCATTATTAATAGTCAATTTGTTGCGGTCCCAAAACCCCCACGGTTATTTTATTACGATGACAAAATTACCATAATTTTTCTAATCGGATTGGTTCCTTCCCACTGTCTAATCCAACACGAAAACAAAGACGCGGTAACGGGCGTGTAACTGCACAGTTTGCGTCTTATACTGTCAATATTAATAGGATCATCGCGGAAAGGTCCTTTGTTTTATTAACTCCTAAACAAAGATTTGCCCAACAGATTCGAGGCAATAACCGGTCCTGTATCGCCAATCTCAATCAAGACACGAGCGATTTTCAATTCGTAACAGCTTTGAAAGACAAACAAGACCTTTTTTCAATATTTTTCATTTTCAAATATCGTGAAAAAGTTTCCTCTCCCTGAGCAACCCTCACGATTCCTGGAACTATCGTGCAGACGGTATGGAGTCTATTAAATGCTAGATAATGTAACGCGGACACGATGGTCGTAATCAAATGCCACATCAATGTACACGGCAGTCGCATGAAAAGCAACCCTTTGAAAAATTGATGGCAATCGTACAACGAATGGAAGGCCAATAATAACAGTCCACACGACCGCTCATTTTCTAAAAAAAAATACCCAATAACGCTAACAAGTAAATATTTAAACGACAAGGGAATACATGCAATGTTGTTGACGCTCAAATACTGTACAATTTATTATTTTTGGAAAATTTTCGCCCGAGAAGGTGCTGAGCTTAGACGAAAAGTTCATTCGTTCCGTTCTATTCCTGATATTTGAGCCTGAAAATCGATTTTCATAAAAGCGCCATGTCGGGGCCAAGTACAGTCTCGTGTAAACTCGCATTCAATGACGTCATCAAATTTCATTTTAGAAAATATTTGAAGGAGTTTTTTGCGTGTCAATTAAAAAACTCAAAACAACAATCAAACTAAAAAAATTGTAAACATGCCAAGACGGCTCTCCAACAATACTCGAACTTTTTTCCATTGAGTTAACAATTTTCATTAAATTCTTTTTTATTGGTTTATACCTTACTTCGTTGTCAATATTTTCAGCAAAGTGCTCGAGTTTCAAGATGAGAAAATTAGATGAAAGAAGTTTTTCGCTTGAATATTTCTTGCGTCTCAAAAATCGTAATGAAGTCCAGAAACACGTTCCAAAACTTTGACATCAATCTCATTTAAACGTAGAGAATCCATTTAAAAAACACAAATCACGAAGAAAAACCACTCAACATTCTATTTTCTATTTTGAGCAGAAATATTTCCTGCGAGCGGCGCTTTTAGCATTTCCCGACCTTCGGAGTTTCGCGACCTCAACTCCATCTAAAAATCCGAAGCACTTGTTCGGATTGCCACTAATCCAACTTGCAAGAGTTTTGTTCCAAAGCCCACGCATTGAATATTTCAATGGTAACGCAACGAACAGACGGAGTGTTTCCTTGGAGCAGGAACCAAACGCACCTGCTATTGTTTCCATCACACGAAATAATTAACTTAGAAGTTTCCGCAGTCAAGTTACGACAAATCACACAACAATTCCCTAATTATAATTGAAGGGACGTTTCCATTTTCAATCCCCCAAAATTGCACTTAGAATTTCGATTTGGTGTTTTCCCATTTTTGTGGAAAAAGCGCGATAATTCAGCAAAACCCGTCCGTTTCGAGATTAAGAAAATCTAACGTCCCTATCAAGTGTAAAATACGAAGCTACAGCTTTCCGGCTTATGATTTTCGGACATTTGTGCGGCGAATCCCTCGTGACGTGTTTCTATTATTAGGGTTCGCTAAGCTCTTCTTTTTTAATAAAACCGTGTGCCACAATAAAAAACCGTCATCAGTTCTACTTTTACGACGTACAAAAGACAAAAACTTGGCGTATAAAATAAGATTAGTCGATATAAAGAGTAACTTACCTCTTCCAAGTTGGGAACGACGTCGGTGACGATGTTGCAGATGGTGTCGAGGTCCGAGGAGAGCGTCAACATCCTGTAAACAGAATCTAGTTACAAAACAAAGCACAACAATTACCACAAATGGGAAAGTTAGAAGAGGTGGGTGGGTTCGATAACGCGACCAATGATCAAGAAACCCTCACTAGCCATCAGTCACGGGAAAATATGAACTTGTGGAAGAAAAAGACACGTTTTGTCGTGTGTAAATGGGAAAAAGTTGACGTATTTCCCCCTCGCAACATCGAGGGTTTGGCTGACACAGTAGCTCGAAGAGAAAAATTAGGAAACAAAGGAGGGATTTCAATATAATCAAGTAAAACAAAACGGGAGACCTGTGTGTTTTGTGGCAAGTTTTAGTGATTTAACCTGTAAAAAATTTAATTAACACATATTAATGGCCTCAACCTAAGGCAAAGCGTGTAGAACGCTAGGTTAGGGGACCTTGCTTACGCCACCTAGCGGACAAAACCAGCCGGTTGCACCGCCCTTAATAATTTCAGCGGTTAGATGAGTTAATTCACGGAGAGCGGGGCTTAGATCTTCGTTTTTCACACAGTGCAGGGCCGACTCAAGTTACTTAGCGATTGGCACATGCTGATTAGGTTCAAAATTGTTGTAAGAAAAACAAAGTCTTGATTAAGTGATGCGTTAAGAAATTATTTTTTTAGTGGAGTGTGTATGCAGTGCAACCAGGGCCGGAGTGAGCACAACTAAATAGAGTTTGAATAATTTTACCGTTCAGGGCCCGGGCAATCAGGGACAGTTATCGAGGCTTTGTACTGTTGGTTGATCGTTGTGGCAACACGCAAAATGGCATTGGCGGGCAGGTGGTTCAGGTGGACAGGTGGCACAGCCGGGGGACAGAAGACATTAGTTAACATGGTACTAAATGATACGGAGCTGCAATCTCAAAAGTCATAGACATGGACTGGTGTAAGCGGAACGCTCACACGGGCATTATTCGTTATAATTTTTGAAAAAAAAATTGTAATCGTCCTAAAAATACAAATTAAATTCACAGCATCGGACAGAGCTGCCGCGTCTCCAAGTCTTTAAACCGAAAAACTAAAAAAAAAAATTATGTGATTTGTGTGGGTGCATGTGGCAGCTCTGCAAGTCTGGAATAATTTAAGAACTTAAAATTAATGCACTTAACACGTAACATTTAACAGTACAGTAACTTGGTTAATGTTGGCAAGGGATTGATATAATTACCCCGAGACTAATTGGGGAAAGTTTGACCTTTTGTAGTGTGTATAAGTTAAGACATTATCATTGGCGATAGGGCAGGGGTTGGTTCTTGCCGCGACAAAACGTCCAAATTATTATTAGGCAAATTAGTCACTTGCTAGTTGGTTAAAAAATAATAAAAAATAAAAACGTCACTAGTCTCGTCGTGTTAACCTTTATTAATTCATTAATTTGTCTTTGTTTCATTGTTTTAGCTGTGCTGTCAATGTTAAAATGTTACCGCGGGTTCCGCCACTGGCCCAACTCACAAAAACCACTTCCATTAACATCGAACCTCTCTTAAAACAAAAATTCTACAATCTTCGGTGGCTACATAATAAAAAATTGTGTTATTTTTAGTTAGAAAAATAAACACAAAACTGTTTTGAAGATAAAAGTGTTAAGAAATTAAAGCTGTTTTCGATAAAGTATGTGGCTCACTTTCACATTTTAGATCGCTACATAAGTACTTGTTTACCACAGAAAATTGTCATGCAAATTCACTCTTTATGCAAGTTTTCCACCGGAATGAGAAGTTTTTGTTTGTTTTGTTCCTAACAGAGTTGCGACCAATGACCAACCACGTGAAGACGAGAAAACGTGTGTTTGAACGGAAAAAGCCAAAAAAGATGGCCTTCAAACGGTCCAAAAAACGTCCCATTTGAAAACCATCCGTAAAAATCCATTGGATACTGACCTGACTCCTCAACTTCGTTATATTTTGGCCACCCTTACCAATAATGGAACCGGCAACCTAAACCAGAAAAACCAAATTCAGAATCAGTTAATTAAACACGGGATACATCAACCGATCTATCACTGTCAACTGACCGCTTGTTTTTGCCGCGACCTCGTTCATTGTCAGTTTTTGTCGATTTTGTGGAAAGTCCTGAGAAAAATCGAGACAGATGTCGTCGCCGGCGTCGCAACATGTCATGTCTCCGGAACGTTATTTTTGCAATTGTTCCGTCACGCAACCAACAAGGTTAATGAATGACGGAGAAAACAGAATTCTTCGATATTCGCAGACCCAGATATGGATTTTAAATGCGAGGTTGTTCACCTTCCGTCTCATGAATATCTAATGCACGTACTGGTGGTACTAGCAAATAGAAGATCGCGCGAAAACTAACAGGACTCCACCTACATGGCTTAGAAATTGTTCCGGAGAGGAAAAATCGCGGAATTAAAGCAGCACGCTTACACCAAATCGTGAATAAATACACAACTGATTGGACTCTGCATGAATCTGTGCATGTCGAAGGAGAAAAGAGCAGATTTAAGGAGTGATGTGGGTAAATAAAGGCACAGAAAGATTCTGAAGGCGAAGGAATGGAATCTTGTTATTACACGACACAGCTGGAAGAGGAGTTATCTCGGTACACCGAAATGAAGATTTCAGGGTCACTAACCTACAGGAATTCAAAATTGACCTTTTTATAGTTTCAGGTCAAAAAAAACACGAATTTAATTTTTTTATCTGAAATTCAGAACAGTAAAAGCAGAAAATTACAAATTAATAAATTATGTATTGCGCAATAGATTAAAGTTATATTCTTTCGAACAAAAATTACAAATAACCCAATTCCAAGGTTTAGATAAATATCTCCTACCACATGCAACCAAAACAAGCACTTTCGCTATTTTTAAATTATCAGAACGTCTAAAAATAGGCGTATTGACTAGATATGGTTAAATGTTGCTGACAATAGCCGGAATACTTACATTTACGGATCGGTAGAAGACTATTGAATCTCTAAATGGTTTCGTTTTCAAGGTAAAATATTCAAAAATGGTAGATTATCGGCGAGGAATTTGCATAAAGAAATACAATTAGAAAGTTCGTATAGACAGAGGTCGATCTAAACATAAATTTTAATAATAATTTAACAAATTTCTATAGTTGATAAATCACGATTACGTAATTACGTAATTAAACTTGTTCGAGAAGTCGGATTGCCAATATAACATTGCAAAAAACAAATAAATTTGCCAAGTTCTAAAGCAAGGTCGTCTTGACCCGTTCCACTCTTCCTTTTAATAATAAAATCGAAACTGAATAGCGATTCCTAGAAGGACCATCTCTTTAAAAATTAAATCTACGAACAAAGTTAATTGAGTTGCTTGTTCTTGGTTTTTCGTCGTTCAATTACAAAATTAATTACATTCCTTTTTTGCATGTCATTCGATCCGTCAATTAAAAAAATTAATTTCGCAACGATTTCGCGCTTTTCCGGTAAAAATCCGGCGACTCGTGGGAACTCAAGTCTTTTGTTCGTGTTCGTGATGTTATCGCGAAACCTCTCCGGTTGTGATTTCAAGATAAATCCTCTCTCTATCTTACGCAAACCCTATTTTGGTCTATTACGACTCGAAGCCATGTTTATTTAGTAAAATCTGTAGTTGCACGACTTTCCCATTATCAGCACCTGCGTTGTGGGTCAAGAAACGAAATAAACAACTTCCAAGTTTATTATTATATTACAACGTTCGTTGGGCAAATATTAGTCTTAAATTAATTAAAACGACGGCATCGCTCACCTTGCTTGGAATAAGTAAGCGAACTTCCTCGTCACCTCGTCGTGAACGTTTCTGCGGTGATCCCATCTCACCATCAGCTTCCCGCTTCATGGCTACCTCGGCCTGGAACAAAAGTGATAATCAGCGAACGGATCCTCAAGTCGAGAAATGTGGAGCACAAGGACAAGGTCCTCGTACAACTGAATTGTACCTACGTGCTTCATTAATATTTATGAAGCTCTGTACGAAAATGGAATGGCCGCAGGTACTCGCGTGTGAGAGAAAGACGATGAATAACTAAACGTCAACAAGTGAAAACGGGAAAAACGGGAGGATTAAACCGAGCCATGCCGGAGGCTAGGGTGCACAGATGAAAGCTGTTATGGTCAACCTCCTATTTCAATCTAGATTCTCAGGGTGTGTGACATTAACATTTAAGAGTTGTTTATAATTACTATGCATTCTTCAATGTCTTCGATACACACCAAAGTTCACCTTGGAATTGAACTAATTTCCATAAAAAAAACGTATCCTGCTACAAGCACAAAGTGAATAGAAAACATTAGTAAATAATATTCTCTCAGACTGCTATTAGCGAAAATAAATTTTTAATTTCATGAAAAAAGAGGATTAAAAAGGGAATTAAAAGCCCACACAGCTAAATCCTCTCACTCTGTAATTTGTCATCAAATTATTGAACATTTCATTATGCTTTCAGAGCATTACAGGTTTTTGTTATAAAATAACCAAAGCCCTTCATTATTTATTCACACGCTACCAATATCTTCAAAAACTAAACATTTAAAAACAAATTAATTAAAAAATTCAGGGTAATAGTAAATAGAAAAAAATTTCAAGTAAGATAAGACACCGGGAACATGGAAAAAATGTTACAAAAAATTCTGTAAAAAATTTTGACGTTTACGAGTATATTTTGACATTTATAAGTATTTAATAATAATAATAATATTAATAAAAGCCTTTACTAAAGAAAACATGTGAGGATGCGAAGTCAAGCTAATGCTATTCTACTTCTCAAAAACAAAATAAAACAAACTATAAAAAACCCAAAAAATAACTAAAACTTGAATAACTGCAAAGAGAAAATACATAAAATGAACAGAAACCAACATATTTTTAAAGTAATATGAAAAGAAAAGTATGTTATCTTAAAATTATTGAACAAAAGAAAAAAAATAATACAGAATGTAATTTAATTATACTGATGATCTTGTATATGTTTGTTTATTATTATTTAGTAAAAGTACAAAAAATTTGCCAATAAAACCACAAAATAATAACATTAAACAGTTACAATTTAGTCTACAGCTTACTTGTTTCCTCTTCTAATAGCCTGTAGCAAAAACACTTAGAAAATTATTTTTACAGCAGTTTCAAAGTGCAAAATTTAAACTCTCATAATTTCGGAACTTTTACAGATAGAATTTTTTAACATTTTGACATGTTCCTGGTATCTTACCTTACATGGCATTTTTCTCTGAGGCGCGAGTTCTGGCACACCCTGTATATAACTATACTACAGTATGTCCCCGGATTGAGTTTGCAAGAGGAAAGAAAATTTATCTTTGATTTTCCGCCAAAACTGCAAAAGAAAAACATTTTTTGCTTCACCCGAAACAAGCAAATCTGTAATTAAAACTTCATTATTCTGATTCAGTGTAAAGAAAAGTTAATTTTTCTCTTGATTTTTAAATTCTATCACATTGGCGGTTTTATTTATTTGACAACTATACCTACTATGTTTTTCCTTTGCAGTTCTTGCGTAAAATCAAAGATTTTTTTTTTTCTCTTGTAAACTCAATCCGGGGACATACTGTATATTTTAATTTTTCAATTTACAACAAAGTTTCTCTTGCTGCTGTACTTGAATGGGTGAGAATTTTCTTTATTTGGTTAGATGTGAAAACTGACTAGGTAACATCTTCAACCTTCTTAAAGAAATCAGTTGGATGACAAAATTATTGTTTTTCGTCCTAATTAAACTGTTTTGGCTGTGCCGACTTTTCAATGACTCAAAATACAACTCACTTTATTTGTAACCAGCTGTGCAAGCAGCCCACACGAATCTCTACCACGTATTCTACTCCTCAGGAATGCACCCATTGAAAGAATGCGATTACATAACCGATTTCCTGAACTTTAGTCGAAAAAACCGTACAAACTTTCATTTTCCGCGGAGAAAAGTGATTAATCTCTGTCCAAAGTAATTTCCCGGCACGAATATCAAGAAAAAAGTGCAAACAAAATAGATCAAAGAATGGCCAAGTTCAAAGCTTCAATGTGTTACACGGAGACACGCAACTGTCAAACATAGAAAAAAAAACAAAGAACGATGCCACTGGGAGAAAATCCGGAGTTAACTTCCGAATAGTTTACTGCTTGGGGAACATGCGTGAAGCTGAAAGGCCGTACAATTTCTAAAGGATGGTTTAGTTGATCGAATGATGGATTGAATACATTTCGGAAATTCGATAAAAGTCTGTCACGATGCTGAAAAATGTATGTACATCCGAGATTTCACCATCTCCACGCGAACAATGGAAATTTTAATTAAGGAGAAAACCTCTCACAATGGAATCGCGAATTTATATCTGTAGGTTTCAATTGAAACTTAACATATTTATTAAAAAAGCAAACAAGCCAAGGTCTAGTGTCAATGTCAAATTCTTGTAAATATTGAATGATGATAATGCTTTACAACAATCATCGACTTGCAAAGATTTACAAGGCCGACATTCTAATGCTTCAATGACATAATTCGCCTTCGATTTGATAATACAAGCATCATCCACGTGCTACAGTTTTTTTCCAATAGGTGTGCCAACACCTGATCTCGAAACAGGTGCGGTATTTATAAATCGCCAATTATACACTTCGAAGCGTGTTTTATGGCCAAAACGAGCCGTGCGTGAGTGAAATCAAACGTAGATTCTTAATTTGTGGATATAGAAAGAACATTCTTAAATAATTCTAATGATTTTCTTTCACGATAACGTTCGTTGCTTGCTTGCCGTTCCGGAAACCACACCGCACATAAGAATGATTTATAGAACTTAGGAATTTTTTTCAAATGTTCGCTACATCGCGAATAGTAGTGAATTCATTGTGCAATTGAGAAAAATCTCCGAAACGATGACGTAAAATAAACAAATTAGAATTGCCAATATTTCCATGTGGAATTCGAACCGTCCTACACGTTCACTCGATAGTTCACCGTAACTTATTTATGATTTGTTTTATCCAAGCAAATAAACAATTTGTCGCTGTATAGCGCAATGCGAAATGCAGGTAGGTGAACAAAAAGTACAAAACAAAGCGGTTTTGCTTTCATAAAATAATAATTAATAAAAATTAAAGTCCCATAAAAATGTGATCGTGTTTTGAGAACGAAATTCTAATTTGATTTTGAGTTATGCGACTTTTTTTTCTTCAAAATGACAACTTACATGAATTTTTTTTCGATAAAAATTAATAAAATGTAAAAAAAGATTCCATAATGGATTGCCATTTAAATTAAAAATTGCAAATTCAAAAAAAAAAAAAACGGAAAACTGTATTTTTATAGTACTTTATCATTCATCAATTAGTTTTTTCAACACTCAGGTGAAATTCACGTTACGAAGAAAAATTTTAATCTTGGATGAGAAGAAACCACTGAAAGCTAATAATGCCCCGGAAACTGTTAACTTTTAAAGTGAACATTTTCCTGAAAAATGTTCAGGCTTTGAGAAAGTTAGTTTCTAGTGGAAGTCACTTGATTTCTAATTTTCAGCAAAAATGGTGTTCGATGGAAGGATTCGAGCTAAACCAAGACAGATCTTTGTAAATCATAACAAAATAAACAGAAATCTACATTGAAAAAAGAAAACATTTTTTAGACTCCCCAGTTTAATAATTTAAAACCAAGACCAGAACAAAGTTTTGAACTTCTCGCAAAACATAAAACTTTTGTTGAAGTCTGCATAGACTCACGTTTGAGATAAATTATTAGGAACAAAGATATTCAATCTGAATCAAGTTTTGATCTAAAAACTACAAAATCGCACGAAAAACAGAGGTCAAGAAACCAAATTCCAGGTTAATTTCTCCTGAGAGTCAGTTTTTCGGTGGCCTTTAATGCCTGACGTGGTGTAATTCGAAGATGATTAGTTGCCCGAATCAAGTTATCCTCTCTTTGTGTTTGACGCCATCATCATCGACAAAAAGCTCCAAATACGTCGTTACCGAATTTATCACGCGTGTTACGCGACTTCAATCTGTCACGTCACCCTCACCTAACAACCCGATTCTCCATAATCGCGTCCTCGAATATAATAAAGCTGACACTTGTGTCGTATCGGTTCGCATTAGCGATTTCTCGCTTCTCCGAGTGAAAATTGCATCCAACACACGAACGATGTTTTGTTTATACAGAATTTTATTGCAAAAAGACGAAAAAAAAAAACATCGCATGTATAGTCGAAGCAATTGCGGTCGAGTTCAATTAAGGTAAATGGTATAAAATTGCGGAATCATAAGCTCGTTTGAGAAAACCTGTTGAATAATTCAAGCCGAAATAATTATTTCAATGAAATTTAAATTAACCGACTTTATTTCAATTTCTAAGATTTTTAATTTGAACCATGAGCCCCGAGGGTTATAATTTTACAGTCTTGTAACAACTCAGAGGTGCACCTTAAAATTTACCTTTCAATTTCTTAAATAAACACAAGATAACATAGTGAACATCCACGACTGACAGCCGTTGTACAAACAACGCGAACGAGTTGAACAAACAGAACTATAATTGATATAAGGTTTGCTTTTTTCCGGACCCGAAATTTAAAAGCTCGACATTAAAACATAACTCTATATCTCGCCGACAGAAAGAAAGAGCAACCAAATCGATCGCAAAGTACACATCCTGTGTGTGCGCTGTAGATTTACAAACTTTCGTGGAGAAAATAGAGATTTATTGGAAAATTCACCTCCAAGACAATAAAGAACTATAAAATCACATTTTTTATCAGTGACAAACTTTGGTTGTTATCCCCCAGCGACTCTTCGTGTAATTCGATGCCTCTAAAACACGATAATTAACGCTGAGTGAACTTTCCAACAATCGCGGATTAAGTTAGGATCTATTCGAACATAGGGGAGTTGACTAGTTGGTGTTAACTGGTGCGCGAACATTTGACAGTTGGTACAACACTGATACCATCTCAGTCAACCACCGACACAATTATCATCTTGAAACGCTTTGATGTTCCTGGTCCTCGAGTATCATAATTAAAGCCCCGGTGACCCGCACATCCCATATTAATAATTAACGATCCTAATCAAATTCCTGTAAATTAAGACTCCTAATCGATGTTGTCACGACCGGAAAAACTCTCCGGACTTTTGATTAAATCTCCATAAAAGACCGCAACACCCTTTTAAACGCCCTTTGAACTTTGTTTCGAGGAAAGTAGGATGAACTTTAACGCCGTTTTAAAAACTCGATAGTCCCACACCTGACACCGACTAGCACTGGAGCGCTTCAAGACGCAACTTTTCTTTATAGTTTGTCTCCCGGAAGAGTTCCCAATTCATTAACTTGGCTGCATGCACAAACAATGTAACAGGAGAACAAAGCACTTTCGTGCGAGATTGGAAATTGGCGAAAATTTTTCACCATTAATATTCATAACGGCGCTAATAAAATTGCTAAAAGGGGCGTCTGGACGTTCATCGAGGCTGCAATTTTGCACAATTATTATTTAGTTCTCATCAGGACGATCCCCGGATAGTTATTGCAAACCATTGCACACCATGGGGTAACCGCGACAAGCCGGAGGGATAAACAGGACGAATAACTCATCATTTTTTTCAAAAACATAAGAAAACTAGAGAAAAAACTGTAATAAACAATAAAAAAACTAAAATCGGTGTAGTTAGGTTCAATTAGGAACCAAGTCGGCAGATTCCCTTGTAGATAATTCAATACATTTCAGTGGGAAGAGCCTGAAACGTGTCATGACTCCACTTCGATATGAAACCACTGATAGCCAGATTAGAGAGAGGAAACCAATCAATATTTGACGAAAGCAAAAGCTGATTGCACAATTGATGCGAATTAATTATGAAATTGTACGATTGACGTGTCGATCAATTGATTAAAGAGATGAACCTGTCATCAGACTCGGCATATTTCTTAGTTTACATCAGAATTAACAATGAACCGAAAAGTAAAAGTCGAAAATCAACAAAGGTTAAAAATTATTACCTAATGCGGCTAAATCAGCGTCTAAATTTAACAAAATTCCATTACAAAATGAAAAAGTGTTTGAACTCGAGCCGGTGTGGCCGGTTTTATGAAATAAAAGCATTGATTCCACATTCCTGTATTAGTAACTGTATTCTGCGATCGTTAATCTCTGTGTAGTAATATCGGGTTGACCCTAAGCTTCACGCGAAAAGGCCCATTTTAGAAATGACTTCACCATCTGCAAGATGTTCCTCACCCATCAAAATATTTACCAAAGGTGCGTCTTCCACATCCTATTTACAAAGAACAAATAAACGGCCGGTATGTGGGTCAGTCTTTCCGGGACCCTTACAATTTTCATCGCAATAAATTAGCTTTATTGCTCGAATACTTCACATTCCGAGACTCGAGATGGATTTACTACATAATTAAGAGAGGAAATTGAACGGAATTACTCTCCTTTCGGCATTGGTCAAACAATAAATACACCTATTGCCAATTGTCTTTACAAACGTAGAAAATGTAAGAAAGTCTCCGTTTTTTTTTTTCAAGCGATCCTTCAGCCTATCTACAAGTGTCCGGAAATGACTAGACACGTCTCTAAAATCCGCCAAACTCAATTCCACTAGATTGGACAAAGTCCGGACTAGTGGCAGTTGATGTTTATTGTCTTCCGGATTTAATTAAGGTACAAAAAGTGCTTTGCAGTTTTCCCCTCGCTTTTGACTACATTTAATTTAATTTCTGCTTCTGATCGCACACTTAATACAAACTTCTTTGACGCTAGACACGTGCCCTTTACAAGGGTCGACACTGGTTACTTATTCATTGTTATACAGCAGTGGCCACAAAAAATAACACACCAACAAAAACAATAAAAAATATAATCTTTAAAAAGTCCCAAATAAATTTACCTTCAAATGAATTGAAAAATTATGCAAAAATAAAAAATTAAAGAAGAAATGACGAAAATACTAATAGTAAACAGCAAGTTTCTTAAAAATTATCATTTAGTCAATAAATTTGAATAAACGTTGATTATTTTTGAGCAAAAATTGCACACTGACACTTCCCAAAAGCCAAACCGGAGAATTTCTTTGTTTACAACCTCCGTTTTGCATTTTCGCGAAAAAGCGAAATAAAATATCGAATGTCGGAAAATGACTCTTGAAAAACACAAACCCCGGAGTTAAATCCGGCACAATCGTCACTTGTGCGCCCCGATTACCCTGTTCCTTCGCTTAAAAATCCTCAAAGAAACAAAGATAATTGCTTTTAGCGAATGAACAAACAAGGTATTATTTCGTCTTTTCCTTGTGTACCAGACGAATTAGCATTGGATTTCGCACACACAGATTTTTTTCCAACACTGAACACAATTTTCTCAACTCACTTGGACAGAGTAGCGAAAATCCTGAAACTTCTAATTCAGCCTCACTTGCACTTGGTTTGAGCTTGAAACTGAAACGTAGACTGCGTGCTACCGCACACTCGACTCAAACAAAACAAAACGGAGTCGTTCAATCAACCGTTCTCGAGCTGTGGTGGTGGCAGTGTACTCGGATGAACCACGCGTTTATGCGGATTGTGGCAGAGTCGACAAAGAGGAGTCGATAATTGTGAGGATTTGCGATCAAGTGACGTGGTACTGAAAGGCACTGATGGGAAATAAAAGAAAACGTTTGGCAGGAAAAATTACTCAAACGCCTTGGAAGTACATCGACCTTCTATTGTTTAAACAATTACAGGTCTATTTACTCAAGTGGTTTCCTTCAGCCGAGAAAATGTGGAAATGAGTCAACGACTGGAACTGGATGTCTCACTTTTAACACCTTTATTAAATCAACATAATAGTCAATCAACTTCCTAGAAAAAACATCAGTAAATACCGCAAAAAAATATTATTCAAATTCAAAATTTGCTACAAGAAACTGCAATTATAATATCACTTTACAGTTACAAACAATTAGCTGTAACAATAGTTGCTAGTGTGTTTGTAATTAGAAATTTGAAAATTTTCAGTCTCTTGGCGTCAAAGCAACTTTCAACCTCTATGTTTGTATGAAATGTTAATTACAACTACGAAACTTCAGTACCAAAACCAAATAAAATAAACGTTCAGCATCTCCTATAAATCGCTGAAAAACACAAAAATTTTAAAATTTTCATAAAACAAATTCTTTTAAACATCGTTAATAATAATTAGTTATGGGCACTTAATTCATTACCCAACATCACAAACATAAATTTTTAATGCAAGGGTCGGATTAGCGACCGCAGCTAGTTGAAGCGAGTAATTCAGGAACGTCCTATATCAAAAACAACTTACAACTGCAGAAGGTTGCTAATAGCACCACCGTAACTTTAATCCCTTAATCAGACACAAACAAACCGACAATTAGCAATAAGATGACTTTTCTCAATTATTCAAAAGCGTGGGCACCTTACATCATCCATTATGTTTTTGTAAAAATTATCACTTGTGAAACGGATCACTTAATTTTTTTACACGTTGACGCTAATGGAAACTGATTATAAGCGACCGAATGAAAAGGTTTCACTATGATTAGAATCGATGTTGCAAACGCTAAAAAGTAGTAAAATTGTAAAGAAAGAGGCACGCTATTGGCATTATTGCTTTGAACGGTCGGAATTTCGTCCGGCTTTGGGGGTCGATAATTGCGTCTGTTTCGAGTAAATTAAAAATTCTTCGCCAAGAGGAAACTACCAGATAAAATCAAGCAAATCCTTTTGTTCATCTCGAATCGCAAATTAAAATACACGTGGTGAAACTGAAACGAAAACTGTCTTAGCATTTGAAATAAATTAATAAAGTTCTCTCGAGGCCAGACAAGAAAAGCTCTCGAGCTTTTAAAATGCGATTCGCAGCAATCCATTAAAAAAGGCAAATTTTAATTGATAAGAAAACACGGGAGGGGTATTCCAATACATTAGGACGCAGCCAAAGCACAAGTACGAAAGTTTTTCCCATCGATAAAAGACAATGGAGCACTTTCTGGACGACTTACTCTCCCAACTTTGCCCCTTTATTAATCACAAAGTGGCGATTTTAAACAATTACGTTGAACTAACCGGCGATAGTAAAGCAAAAAATCTAATTTATAGTGTTTTTGGTTTCACATTTGTTTTGCAGGGAGCGACCCTATTTTTCAGTCACGCAAATGCGCCCTTAAAATGAATTACAGGAAAAAGAGGACGTTCCACGTTTACGATCGGGAAAACAACCTTAAAAGGTTTCAAACACTCCCAAAAAAATTATAGAAAAATTCAATTTCACCAAACATCGTAAAAATTGATAAACCATAAATAAAACAAATTGATTTGTTTGCGGATGGTTTCTCGTCGATTAACGTCGGAGGAATTAAACACCTAATAAATAGTTTACCGGTCCCGACAGCCCCCAGAGGAGGATAAACCGAAGCGAATACGCCCCATAAGACTTAAACGGGTAATAAAAGCGTTTTTATTTTGAGTTTTTGAAACAAATTCGACATGAAATATTCAAACAGTTTAAAAGCTTCCGGAACAAACGGAAAAATCCATACTCGACCAAGTCAAAGGAAAGACAAACTTACCCTAGATTAGATCAGCGATTATCGCCAAGTCCTCGTACCCTTGGATCCGCAAGATCTGAAACAACACTTTTCTTGAGAAACTTTCGCTTAGTCGGCGAGATAATCAAAGCTGGGGGCCTTCCCCATGGCCCCAAAACTAGAAAATTATGATGGCAAAGGCCAAACAAGCTCCAATCCAGCTCAAATAATAAAAACAAAAAATTTGTAAACTTTAAGTTGAAATTCAAATAGTTTGTGGTTTGAGTTAAATTGTGTTGAAAAGCGTCGAGGTGTCGAGTGGGTTCCAGGATTTCGTCCATGCAGATCAAGTCGTTAAGTGTTTCGAAAATAGTTCAATGAATAATCATGATGTTCTAAATTTACCTTGGCTTTAAATTTAGCTGGGTGTTAAACCGTGTTATCGTATCTAGTATCTAAGGATCGTGCAACAGGAAACGGACATTAATCAAGTCCTACCTTTTTATCTCTATGGAGCTTATTAGGTAGACAACTTCACGACTGAACGACCACCTAAGAACTGACCAGCGGTCACTAGACTATCAACTTATCAGTCAGAAATCTCCCCCAGGACAAAACCCATTGGCCTAACGGCAGGGATACGACGTACGTGGCCACAATTGATTGTTGACGGGTCGTCATAGCGACCTTTCAAAATACAAACACTGTCGACTGGACGTCACATATTCTACATAATTGCGACAATTTCACCCAAAAGATAATTGAATGTAAAATGAAAATTCTTAAAGGTGCGAAAAGTCACAAACGTGATTTGGACCGGTTTAAAGACTTTCAGCGAACTTATCAAAAGTGGAAGTCTAGGGGGACTACCGAGAAACCAAAAAGTGTACCAACTTGGTATAACACGGTTAGAAAAGTCCCAGGGCGGAAAATGTATTTTAAGGGTCTCTGAACTTGGAGAACTCCTTCTGGTCATTGCGCACAAAATCAATAATAAACATTAAACAATTACAACAACTTTAATTTGTTATTGCCGACACGGTTTATTACAACAATTATCAAATTAAGTGTGAGGTCAACTTGGGCAACTCTTCCACCAATAATTGATTATACACTCCTCGACAAAAAGTAACTTCCTAAAGTTTTGTTAAATTAGTGGATATCTCGATCTTGACAACACAAGAGATTAGAATAAATTATAGAAATTTGTGTTGCATTTTTTTGACGATTAGAATTTCTGCAGACACTTTCTATACTACAAATCGTGTAATTTATAAGTACAATAAAAGAAGAAGTCTCATAGAAATCACTCTATAACCCATGTGTGCATTTTTTTAAATCATTTATCATCTAACTAATGATCTATAATTTTATTTTTCGTGTGCCTTGAAATTAATAAAAATTAATGAATGTACTTAAGGTATACATTAATAAAATTTGTTCCTTATTTAATCATATAAATTATCGTACAGTTTGTAAACTTCTTTGAAACCTATAACTAACAACAATTGATATTTTTCCTTTTACAGTCCAATTAACAATTTTTTTTGTTTGTGGTAATACAGCCGTACGTATCCATATTAAAGATAATCATACTCAAAATAATTACACGATTCTATTTCTGTTATATAACAATAAGGTTGATTGCTTGGTAAAATACCTCGTGGCTAAACCACACGCAACGAAAATGATCTCACTTATGCTAAATTGCCTTTTTAGTTAGTGATAAGTTTAAATTTAGAATTCCTTTCAACTCCAGAAAACAATGTTTAAAGCTCCCTCTTCTCCGATAACATATTCTTCGAATTTATCTTGCGCTCGCTGTTGTGCTGTTACAAATTTAGCTTGAACCCATCCCCATGTGTAGTCGTGAACCGAATTAAATTCAAGAAACAACACAAAGATTCAGTATTTAGCGCATTTAGTACATCCTCAAACTTTCACTTGATACTTGAAGAGATTTATGTTATGTCATTTTTTGGCCAGAAACACGATTTCCGCATCTCGTAATCTGAATCAACAAAACCCAATCTAACGATAAAAATATGTAAATATGTGAAGCACCATTTTTCAAACTAATTAATTTGGATGACCACGTTCCAGTGCCTTAGTACACCATTAACACATTTTTTAATACATGCAACGTCACGCTAGCGATTAATAATTTTTCATCGCTGTCAATTCAACGATCAATGTTATTTATCGCTTCAAGGACTATTTAAGCGCTTTCCTTAGGAAAAACATAAACAAATTCGCCCAAGTTGGAGCTGTGTTATTATAAAATTAATGTAATTAAATGTAATTACGGTCCCACGAGCTGAAAGTAATATTTGTTTAAGCGAACGCTTTTGCATAATTCACGCTGTTGAAGAAAGGTCCTAATAATGCCCACATTAGCGACATTTACCATGGGTAAATGGCGCTTAAAATAAAAACACAACTTGCGAGGAAATGATGATGGTAATGACAGTTATTAGAAGGGTTTCTAGCGAGTAATTAAATGGATTATTTGAGTTAGAACAATGGACTTTGTTAAGTGTTTTTTTGTATATTTTGATAAGTTGCGGTTTTCAGTAATGCGTCTGGCATTTGGCGCGAGATTCGTTGACTCACATTTGATTGCCTTGGCACCTCGCCGAGTAATTTCAAGTGTGTTTGAAATATTTCAACCGGCTATTACCGACAAAGCCACTCAATTTCTAATAAGATGCATTTCGTGCCTTAGGGGCGGTATTGTGGAAGTCTGTATTAAAAATTAACAGGACCTGGGAAATACCACGCGTTTGCATGTTCCATTAAAAACGAAAGAAAAGTAGAAAAATTAATTTATTATTAAAGATGGAAAAACTGCAAGGTGTCTCTCTCGCGTGACGTCTCAAGGGACACGACACATCTTATAAATTCCCAATAAGTCTCTAATTTAAGACTTAACGATAATTATTTTCATAAATAATAAAATGATGAAGAACGGCCTCGGAAACTACCTCAACGTTTAAACGAATAAATCAATTACTGCAATATTAATCGACATTTCGATAATGATCGTCCGTTTTCGTGCTAATTAAATCGAAGATGTGCACAGGGTGACGTGGCTTCTTCTAACTGGCCAATTAGACTGAAAGAACTCGACTCTATCATCAATACGTCTAATGACAGTGTTATTACGTTACGAAATGACATACGATGCACGCCGTACCTGATTGTAGTCTGCACTTAGAGAAACCTTTAATTATTATCAAACGGAGACTCTCACAAGTATTAAAAATTCAAGAGGTAATAACAATGTTTGATGGGACGAACGTTTAGATATTTCTCTGATGGTATATTGCACATTCCACGTCAGCAGAAAATAACGCCAATAGACATTAACCATTCATAACGTTCAACGATTCCGTGGCACTTTTGCCAACTTAGGAAAGAAATTGAGACATTTCCGATCCCAAGAGTGGATATGTCAAAAGTAGAAAGGTTTCAAAGTCAATTTTTAATTTTTATACGCAAGGTTGCGCTAATAATATTGCGCGAAACGCGGAAAAATCGAATGAAGATGGCCTCGATTTGGCCAACTTTCCATTTCACAATTGGGACCGAAATAGGAAATGAACTCATTAATACTTCAAAAATCGATAAACAACATTTATTAAAGACATTATTTTCGATGTTATAAATTAAACAAGGTAGAAGCCACAGCTATCAAACCCAATCAATCTAAGTTTATTTGAACGCGACAACCTTATTCAAGCGAGTGCACCAAAAAAATAAAATAAAAATAACTACAACCGAAACTATCGATTTTCCCTCATCGAAAAGAAATAAATTGTCTTGTCATTACGATAATTTCCGTCGAGTGAGAATTCACAAAGTGAATGAATTTGCGACACGTCGATGTAAATATTAACATCAAAATGCTCTATTGTGTAATTTGCGTAATCCCAGATCTATTCGTCAAAGAGACCACATGTAAAGCTCGGGGTTGAAGCAAAGCGGTCGTCTATAATGACGGAACATCCCGTCCTATCACACCCAAACAAGAACAAAGTGATACCAACATTACGGCGAAATATGCAGCCGTTCAAAGCATTACTAACGTTTCGATTAATCAAAGTTTAATGAAATCCCAAATTTACCAAAATACATAGTTTTAAGAACCAATACAATGATCAATTGGTTCTGGGGTGCAATAAATTCAACCCTATCGTAAGAAATTGGGTTATTAAATTCATTGTCCTATTCACCACTGATACGTTCTACATAGCTCCTTGCGAGATTTATCCTCAATTCCTCAACTAAAGCCCTCAGACATTTTATGCAAGAGTCTGTCTACTATGGGAAGGTAATAAATCACGTCTTATTCCTGAATTTTTTTTACTCCATTTGAAACACTTGTAGAAAATACTTTCAACTATCACAATTAACAGATAATTGCTTTGTCAAGAAGCATCATTTGCAAATACAAAGTGGTTATAAATGATTTTCATCTAGCCAGCTGTGAATTATCCATGTAAAATAAAAATGCCGCTTTACGAAAATAAGGGTACTTGTTTTAACTCAAAATGAAAAAATCGCCGTTTACTAAGCGTCCACTTCGAAAATAGACTTCAATTATAAACTTGTTTTCTTCCAATGTATCAATTATTATTGGAAATTAGTTGAAACAATAAAAGTTTAATTAACAATTTATTATTAATTAATAAGTGACACTAATGACAGAACTAGAGTTTTCAAAAAAGAATAGCGGCACAAATAAAGTTACATGCAGAAAAATTCCAAAGCTGGCTAGACGAAAATCATTTATAACCACTCTGTATTTATAAATCAAGTATAAATGAACTAAGAACAAAATAGAAATATATATTAGCACTCCTTTTCAACTCCTGGCATTTTATTACAGCTTCCTCAAAGAAAGTGCGTTTTATTACTGATAAAAAACTTTTCAATATGAATATGTGATAAAATTGCGTCAAAAGTGATGTCTTGTAACCAAAACCTTTGTTTCGCACCAGCTGTTTGATTAAAATAATCATTCGACTACTGTAGACAATAACGAAACCACTGTGAGCTTCTGTTGTATACAATTATAAAGTTGTAAACATGTTA